ATAAATAGTAACATACAAAATTAACACCAAAAAATGCATTTCTGTACATTAACAATGAACAATTCCACAGAACTAGAAAAAGAATCCAAGAATTCATTTGGAACCATAAGAGACCTAGAATACCCAAAGCCATTCTAGGCAACAGAGACATGGTAGCGGGTATAACAGTTCCCAATTTGAAACTATACTACAAAGCCACTGTGATTAAAAGAAAAAAAAACAGCATGGTACTGGCAAAGAAACAGATCCGAGGATCAGTGGAATAGATTGGAAGAAACAAAAACAAACCCAGATGTACTCAGCTATGTCATCTTTGATAAAGGAGCTGACCATCCTCAGTGGAGGAAAGATAGCCCCTTTAATAAATGGTGTTGGAAAAACTGGATCTCAACCCGCCACAGATTAAAACTGGACCCTTATCTTTCACCATGCACTAAATTAAAATCCAAGTGGATGAAAGATCTAAATATTAAAACAGAAACACTAAATTTGCAGGAAGGTATGTTAGGCAGAAGTCTTGAAGACATTGGCATAGGAAAAGACTTTATGAACAAATCCTCAGTAGCATGGGAACTAGCAGAAAGAATCAATAACTGGGATCTCATCTTATTAAAAAGCTTCTGCACTGCAAAAGAAACCATCAACAGAACTAAGAGACAACCTACAATGTGGGAAAAAAATTTTACTAGCTGCTCCTCAGACAAAGGACTATTATCTAGAATATATAAAGAACTCAAAACAATCAGCCCCCCAAATATAAAGACCCAATTCAAAATGGGCATCTGAAATGAACAGACATTTCTCAAAGAAGTAAAAGCAGCAAGTATATGAAAAAATGTTCCACATCACTGTTCATTCAAGAGATTCAGATGAAAACAACACTGAGATTCCACTTCATCCCACAAAGAATGGCTGCTATCAAGAAATCACACAATAACAAATGTTGGTGGAGTTGTGGGGAGAAAGGAACCCTTCTCCATTGTTGGTGGGATTGCAGACTGCTGCAACCACTAGGGAAATCAATATGGAGATACCTCAAAGAGCTGGGACTAGAGGTTCTATTTGACCCAGCCATCCCTCTGCTGGGTATCCTTCCAAAAGAATTAAAAGAATCATATCATAGTAATATATGAGCACCTATGTTTATAGCGGCACAGTTTGTAATAGCTAAAACTTGGAAGCAGCCCATTTGCTCATCAGTTGGAAACTGGATAAGAAGATGTGGTTTTTCTATAAATGGAGTAATACTCAGGTATAAAGAATGAGAAATTAGATCCATTCAGAAAAATGGTTAAGAAGATGTGGTTTTTCTATAAATGGAGTAATACTCAGGTATAAAGAATGAGAAATTAGATCCATTCATAGAAAAATGGATACATATTGAGGATATACTCCTAAGTGAAATAAATAAGTCACACGTGTAAATACTGAATAGTTTCTCTGGTGTGAATAAATAGTACATAAGGTCCTAATGAGATAACTGACATTGTGAAATGGGAAGAAAAGGGCTAAAGGTGTAGGGAAAGTGGGAAGGGTAGGGGAAAGGGAATAAGGGAAAAGAAAAAAATATGAGAAAATGAAAAGATGGAAATAAAGTGTTTGTAAATGGGGAGGAGAAGAGGGGGTGAAGGGAGGGCACAGACAAGGGGAAAAAGTGAGAACCAAGACCTGTCATGTAAAGGTACAAGCCCCCAATAATGAATGTAACTGTACTGTGTACCTAAAATGTACCAATAAACTCAATTTAAAAAAATAATCAATTGAAAAAGAATGTTAGGAAAATACATCTTTAGAAAAGAACATCTTTACACTAGCATCAGAAAGAAAAAATCAAGTTGGTAAAATATCCATGCAATGGAAACTATAAAATAGTGCTGAAAGAAATGTAAAATGACACAAATTGAAAGAACACTCCATTTGCCTAGAAGAATTATTAAGATGTAACTACTGTCTAATGTGATCTATATACTAATGAAATCCATAATAAAACTCCCAGTGATACTTTGTATAAATAGAAAAATCCACCCTAAAATTTTAGGTGGGGGATGGGTTGAGATAAGTTTTCACTATGTAGTGCAGACCAGCCTCAATGTAAATGGTCTCAATTTACCAGTCAAAAAAACAGACTGGCAGAATGGATCAAGAAGCAAGATCCAACGATATGCTGCATATATGAAACACATTTAATTCAAAAAAATTCATAAGCTGAAAGTCAAAGGATGGAAAACAATACTCCAGATGGAAAATAATACTCCATGTGACAAAAGCCTGGAAAAAAGCAAGAGTAGCTATTCTATTTGCAGACAAAGTGAATTTCAAGCCAACACTGATTAGGAAAGACAAAGGTCACTGCTACATCCTTGGAAAGGAAAAAACCAAGAGGAAAAGATACCACATAAACACAAATACTAGCACATTTAACTACATAAAATATTAACAGACATGAAAAGGGACAAAACTGTAGCATCCCACTTATGGGGCATTTAATAGTCAAATTCATAGTAATGGTTGAGAGAAATAGGAAGTTACTCTTTAGTGGGTATAGTGTTTCAATTTGGGATGATGAAAAAGTTTTGGAGATGAATACTGATGTTGGCTATACAACAATATGAATGATACTTAATGCTAGTAAATCATGCACTTAAAAATTGTACATCTGAATGGTCATCAGGTAAGGGAAAAAATTTATGACAACACGGAGCAATCTTTTTTAAATCAAAACAAAATAAAATTGGGGTTAATTAAAATACATCAAACTTTAGATCTTCATCAGAAGGCAGCATTTGAGTGAATAAAAAATGAAACTTACAGAATGGAAGAAAGCACTCAAAAACTTATAACCGAAATCAGAGAGTGGGCTGCTTATGTTTAAAATACATATATAAGAATCTTGAAAAAGTCATGAGATATAGGTGACAATAGAAAAGTGGTGAAAATGATTGAAAAGGCACTTCACTAAAATGAGAAATAATGCAATAGATATTAACCTTCCTCAGTAACAAGGGATATGTACTTTGAACAAAAACTGTTCTCAATATATTCACTAGAATGCCTGAGATTTAACAAGTATATAACAATTCCAGGATTTTCCAAAAATTTCAGCCACGTGGAAATTACATACACCACTGACAGGAAAAGAAATTGGCAAAAGCCCTTTGGAAACCTGTTTGACAGTAATCTCTTAAATTTAAAAATATCCATACTCATTTCTACACCTATGTAGTAGAATCAAAAAATACAGAAATGTTTTAATTGTCTGAATTCATTACAATAAAAGACACACCGGTGTTGATCTCCCTCAGAATCCTTCTCCTCACTTTGAACACACTTACCCTGTCACTCTCGCTGCTGTCTGACAGTTCCAGACAGCCCGTGTTGTGTCTTCCAGTGCACTGTTGTGGCTGTCTCAATGTTCTGAATTGATCCAAAATGTTTTCCTGTCGTGTCATCTTGACTGTGGAGGAGAAGCAGAAGTCACATCGAGCCGGATCCAGGGAGGTGGTGAGGACGCACAGTCATACTTGTACAAGCCTGCTTTTCCACCAAATGGCCCTCTGCACCGGCATTCGCCATATTTTCTGACACCTTAGACGTAAAAGTAGACTTGTAGAACTGCCTCAGAAAGTAACAAAAACAATGGGATATGTGTGTTCAAAGCCAGAGGGAATATTTTCAGGGCATTTAATGACAGTGTCTTTTACTATAATTTTCAAATTATGATGTTCATCATACGTTATCACAATACATATAGCTATACCCAATATGTGCCACAAAAGACTTACAGAAATGTTGTCTTAAGTATTATGTCAATACTAATTATAGAAACTATAAAGAGGGCCGGGATTTAGCTCAGTGGCACCGTGCCTGCCTTGCAAGTGCAAGGTCCTGAGTTCAATCCTTGGTACCAAAAAAACACAATCATTTATTAAATGTAGATGAAATTTTAAATTATGGTATATTCATAAAGTGCTCCACATCAATGAAAATGAACAAACCTCAGTAACATGCCTAATGCACAGGGGAAAAAAGCCAGATATAAAAAACATGAGCCAGTGTTGATGGTGTATAACTATAATCCCACACTCAGGAGGCTGAGGCAGGAGGATCAAGAGCTCAATGCCAGTCTGAGCTACAAAGTGAGACCCTGACTAAAAAAAATAGACATAAAAGATAGTTCATGTAATTTCAAAAACTGGCATAACCTACACAATGGTGCAAGTTAAGTTCTGACAGCAGTCACATCCGGAGAGGAGGAAAGAATAATGGGAGTAGGTACAGTAGGGTTTTTGAACTGCTGATAGCATTTTCCTTCTTTGCCTGTGTATAAGACTTAATTTGTCAGACCTGGAAAAAACAAAACTGTAAGTGTCAGGATTGACAGATCACTGAACCGAGTGCAGGTGACTTCTGCATTTTACAGGTAAATGAGGCCTTACTGGAATTGGGTCTGGCTCTGCTAACTCTGAGAACTGCTAAAGCTAACGAGCACATGGCAGGAGAATACAGGGAGCACCGCACACACCTAAGCCTGCTTTTGTTCAGCGACCCTAGGTTTGACCTAGCAGAAATGAGGCCAAAGAAAGGAAAGAAATGCTGGACGTGGCTACTTGGATAAACTTGGCAAGATCATAATAAACCCGACGATCCTCACTCTGCAGTGGGGGAAGTGACTTGTTTTGATGTCTGCAGCTCTAAAGCTCACCAGCACGTTCTTAGCACACAATGCCAAGACAGCTTTCACACGGCTCATTTGGAAGGGGCCAACTTTCTCTAACAGATTTTGCTCTTTCCTCAGCCATTTGTTAGCGTAGCGCCCACAGGAAAGCTGTGGCGGAAAGAGAACACGCCAATGAGTGTCTTCAGGGGGCTGGGAGACGGGAAGCCATCCGAGGGCATCGGCAGGATCAGAGTCCTGCAGAGGGGCCTGGTCTCACATGGCTGACCCCGCAGCCTCCACCCGGCTGGGCTAACTGGAGGGCTGTCCCTTTTTCTGCCTACAGTGCAGCGGGCCTTGTGTAGGGCCACACCTGGCCATGCAGCACAGACAGGTCTTCTGCCAGACCCGGGATGGCATCGCCTTACCATCAGAGCAGTGCAGTGCCCTCCCCAGGTAAGAGAAAGTCCTGGGCCTCCTTCCTGGGCCACGGAGCTGTGTGGTGTCAGAATGTTACCCTGCCAGCCTCCACAGCCTCAGGGTTCAGACGCCCTACAGCTCCAGACCCCTCCGGAGACAGGCTGCCCAGCGAGGCCTCGTGCTGGGCTCTGCTGGTGGGGACGAAGCAGTCGGGCGTCAGTTTCCTGGTGGGGGCAGGCACCACAGGAAATCCGCGCCAGCCCCAAGAGGGCAGGAGGAAAGGCCCACTGTCCCTGGGGCCCCACCGGCTCCTCAGGCTGGACGACCTGGCCCTGCCCAGCCCCGCCCAGGGGAGCTCATCACCCCGTCAGGACCCAGTCCCAGAGATGGCTGCCAGTCTCCACCTGAGTGCAGCCGTTCTTGTGCCACAGAGACACAGGCCCGTCATGGAACAGATAAGAACCCCGTCTGCTGACACCCCGGGTTCCTGAGGAGTCGTCACTGCTCATTTCACACCTGTCCCAGGTCGGATGCCCGCAGCCCCTCACTTAACCCTATCCCTTCTCCGCAGGCCCGTGAGCTCTCAGAGCTGCTGGTCAGAAACCTGCAGTGTTCACTGGAGGGTCAGCCTGTGGACCCTCTGCACGGCGACCTGCGGGAACTACGGCTTCCAGTCACGGCGGGTGGAGTGTGTGCTCACCCACACCAACAAGGCTGTGTCCGACCACCTGTGCTCCTGGGGTGCCCGGCCTGCCAACTGGCAGCGCTGCAACATCACCCCGTGTGAAAACAGTACGTTCCAGCCCCAAAGGACATTCTGCAAATTCCCCACAGGGCACCGGGTGCGGCGGGAAGTCCCCAGGTCTGAGCCCCAAAGCAGGCCACTGTATGAGGCTCCCCAAGGAGTGTGAGCTGGGGTGAGTGGAACCTGGCATTGGGTGCACGGGTGTGCACAAAGACGTGTGTCTGCGTGCCCAGCTGCGAAAGGTGGCAGGGTGTCCCCACAGGCCAGAGCCGGGTGCTGACCGGAACTGGCCTCCAGCTATCGTGCAGTCTGGCTGCTCCTAGAGACAGCTCAACAGCGGCTCTCAGGCCAGGCTACTAAAGAGAGAGCACTGCTCGCACTGACGGGCAGAGTGCATCCTCCCAGCCAGCTCTGCCCTCACCGACCGAGGACCTGCTAATTCACCCTCCTCCCATGGAGAGAGCGGAAGCCCATGCCTCCTTCACTCCCTCCTCCCTCGGCTGGACACCAGCGCTGGTATCCAGGCTGGATGGCGATCTCGTTTTTCTTTCTCTGAACCCAGAGCACAAGGTAGAAGTGTTTCCCCACAAGGAAAACATCTTGAGAAAAGAATAAGAAATTTAAAAAGTAAACATAGGAGCACAGTCTTCCCCAAGGCGCTCAATGTTTGCCGGCGGGCACAGGGCCCCCGCTCCTGACCCTGAGGAGAGTGGTCTCCTACCCTGGTGCCACACTGACCCGCACTCACCACAGGCCCCGCCTCAGGAGCACACCAGTGTGCGTCAGAACTGAACTGGAACTCCACATTCGAAGCCTGGTGGGCAGGAGTAGAAAGGCTTAGGAGGAGCACAGAAGAAAACCAAGCCTAACTGAGAGGGGAGGCCGAGGCCTTGAGGGCGGGGACCTCTAACTAGGCTCTGGCTGGCACCTGTCTCACTGGGGAATTCAGAAGTCGGGCCTCCTGGGAGCCACCTAAGGAAGAGAGTCACCGGCATACCGAAGGCCAGGGTGCAGGGCTGGTCGGGAGGAGGGGACAGGCACCATGCGGAGGTTAAAGGCAGCGGGCAGCAGAGCAGTCCTTCGGCAGGACGGCTGCAGCCTGGGGCCGCCCTGCAGTTGGCACCCTGGGGGCAGCCAGTTCGGCCTCCGTCTCACATCCCTTTCCTTCCCCTCCCCAGGGGAGTGCAGGGACACCACCAGGTACTGCGAGAAGGTGAGACAGCTGCAGCTCTGCCAGCTCAGCCAGTTCCAGCTGCGCTGCTGTGGAACGTGCGGCCAAGTGTGACGAGGGCACGGCCGGCTCCGCCCTGCTCGGAACTTCCTCACTGCCTCTCTGCCCTGCCCACCCTCCTGAGTGCTCAGCCCCTCCTCTCCCCCAGGCGCTGGAGGACAGAGCCGGGGAGGACCAGGGCGGAGGCAGCAGCTCCCTAGCAGAGCCAGCTTCCTCCGACCCGGGCTCCGGAAGGGTGGGCCAGGACGAGGCAGCCCGGCTCCGGGGGCTGGGAGACACTGGTGCAAGGCTGGGCCGGACAGAAGCATGCTGCTAAGCACAGGAGGGCTGTTCCTCTGCCACTTCTGCTCTCGGGATGGCGAGGACAAGGGGTGCCACGCTGAGGCCGGACCGGCCCAGAACTCAGAATAGGCCTGAGGCACCCAGCAATGCAGGCAGGGACGAGAGGAAGGGCAGAGGGACTTCCAGACGGTGCAGGTGCGAATCTGGGTTCCGGGGAGCATCGGGTGTTTGGGGCTCTGCTGCCAGCCAGGGAGGAGACGTGCCTGCTCCTGGGAGAGGACGTCCCCACTGTCCACACTGAGGAAGCTTTCTGCCTGCCCTGCAGCAGGAGGTCGGCATCCAGCCGTGCAGTAAGGCTGACCCTGGCAGCTCCCCCTTACGTCAGGAGTCCCCAGCCCTGAACTAACTGCTGCTGCTGCCAGGGGCACCCTGCGCATGCACAGGCCAGACTTCCTCCCTCCGTGGCCTTTGCTGGGGCCTGGGGTCTGCTAGTCAAAGCCACTAACCTGTTTGCCAGAGACCACCTCTCAGTTTGGAGCTGCCGCTTCCTCCCACAGCTGGCTGGTGGGGCAGCAGGGTGGGACCTCAGCCACCACCCTCCTGGAGCACTGAGAGCTGCTGTCCAAGGAATTTATGCAGCAGGCGAGGGTGGGATGAGGAGGGGCCGAGCTGGAGCCAAGGGGAGTGCAAGATTCGTGGTCACTGCTCCAGGCTTCCCATCCCACCCCCACACGGAGAGAGGCTGCGGGCCTCACCGCGGTGGGACCGGTTTAGCTCCCGCAGGCAGAGCGGCACGCATGCACGCGGGCCTTGGCCAGACGCCCCTGGCTGCTGCAAGGCAGCAGGCCAAGCACACACTGGGGCTGCGAGGCTCGTCCGGTGGACAGCAGCTGCGCACAAGGACTTTGACCTTGTCCCCCTGCGTGGTCCCAGGGTAGTAGGGGCGGCCAGAGTCACCCACCCCGGGACAGGCCACCCTCACATGCACACTCATGACACGCCACTCACCCACGGCCACGGCTGCCTTTTCCATCCAGCCTAGACGGAAACTTCGGGAGGAAAATAGTACCCATCTGCCTCTTCTAGGTGAGCAATGGCTGATTAGGGAGGGTCTCTTTCTTCCTCACCACAAAAACAGGCTCTAAGAAATCATGTTACTAAAAATCAGTGTAATGTTTAAAATAAAAGAGAATGTTTTCTATGTATATCTTTTGTGAATATTTATTAGGATTTCTTGTATAAAAGTGCAATATTAATAATTGTACATTGCCATCTTGAAAAAATATTGGGGGATTTTTAATTAAGTTTCTGAAGCTGTGTTTCTGTAAACTCGGTGGTGATTATTCTGTTTTTCCTGTTTTTAATAGAAGCTGGTGTTTAACTCTGGATCCATTATTCACTGTGTATAGAACAGATTGTAAACGCTAATGTGGGGCAATAGGGTGGATTCATGTGTGATGTATATTACGCATAGTGTAATGAAGACAAATTCCATTCTACTAATATAGCTGATTAGCTCTACAGCTACTGAAAATCTGCAGTAAGTATTTACACTTCCTAAAAAGCAGCATCTCCCAGTCAGTCATGGGTTCCGAGCAAGCTCAGAGCCTGGGTTTGGGGTGGAAAAGCGTGTGCTCCTTGCATGAGATGAATGTACATTTAATGTTTGTTCTGTGAATTGTGACTCAGCAGCCCCACAGATTATCAGGGCTGCTGGATAATGTGGAAGGAGGCACTTCCTCCTCTAAACACGAAACTGTTATTTATATTTTTGTACAGATAATACAGCTTATTTATTTAAATCTCGTTGTCTGAGTCTCTGTTAAGTTCAGCCTCCTCATCAAGCTTTGTACAGGGCTGAGAAAAGTTCCTGTCGGTTAGAGGGTTCCCAGCCAGCTGTGTGGGTCTGGAAGACCTAGAAGAATTGAGGTTTGGGGCTCTGCATGGGAGGCTGAGGCCATACCTGGAAGGGCCAGCTAAGTGAACCCCAAAGAGATGCATTTGTGCGTGCGAATATGTGTAGGCTGAGCGCTGCCAACCATACGACCAGTCGTGTGGAGCCCTGTGCAGCAGGAAGCTGAGAGCCACAGGATCACCCGGAAAAAATCCAAGCAAGGATGGGACAGATGGATGGAGACCTGGCTACGGGAGTGCTCTCCTTCGGGGTCAGGCTCACTGCCAGTAAGGACGGCAGATGAAAAGAAACGCTGCAGCATGATGCAAGTGTGGATCCGAATACAGGCTAACGTTGCAGACCACACCGCCCTCTCCAGTCCGTCTGCACGCGACCACCTCCCACACACCATTCCCCGCCGCTTTGAGGTCAGAAGATGACGACAGTGGGACATTTTATGGAAGCTGTCGCTTTTTTGTCCTTCAATCAATTCTTTTGGATACTTTTGGTTTATAAGGTTCCTAGCCCCCTATTTTTAAAGCATTTTAATAAAAATTAGATACCATGGAAAGTGAAAAGATAAACAAAATTACCTTGTAGGGTTCTTCATCAACAGGTTGTAGTTGAAGGGCAGGCCATCCCCGGCCTGGTTCGTGTCCACACAGCAACTCAGGTGAGACAGTGCAGGGCACCCAGAGCCTGAAATCCAAAGCCAGCATGCCTTGCAGCCCACCATTGGGCAGTGTGATGTATGCACAAAAAACTCTTGGAATTCTAGTCATTTTCTATAAGTTTTAGGTTAAGGAAAAATCCAATATTAGAAATATACTCACCAGCAAACAGTGTCCTACAGCATCCCCACTGCACGAGGAAAAGCCAGAGACACCGCAGCCAAGTTCCAAGGGGGCTCAAATGGTGGGAAGAACTCAAGTAGAACCTGTGGCAGTTTTTCCAGCCAAAATCACAAACCCTGGCAGGAGGAAAAAGAGATTCCCACCAGTATACCACCAACCACAGTAAAGTCTGGAATCTTAACATGGGCCAGTGCTGGGCGGCAGCCCCTCGTGGTGCAGTTCCTGCTAACCCTCGTCAGCTTTCCAGGGCTCTAATGAGATGAACCAGAAATTCCACAGGACCCTGAAGACCAGGATGGTCAGCAGACTCCAAAACTCGTTCTTGCCTATATAAAAGTGGGACGGCTCACAGTGTAGGGCTGTTCTGAGGAAGAATTAGTTCGTGTGCTGACACATCACCAAAGCACTCATTGAACATTAATTGTTAGTTGTTATTATCATCCAAACTACCCTGAAAGACAGGGAGATGAAGGGGAGAGTGACCACAATTGTCACTATGTCATGTTATTTCCCATTGTCACCTTTGAAAGATTCCCCGTTTTCATTTTTGATTGAAAATAAAACCTGTGTGGAATGGTACTACACAGGAGCATAACACGACAGTTGCTAGTGGGCCGAAGTCTATGTTTTAGAAAAAAACAGATCAGTCCACATAACTAACTCAACTCATCGATATTCCAACAAACATCCAGAATACTTACCAGGATTAAAGTTACCATACGCTCTCAACTTACAGTGAGTCTCGATTCAGCATACCCAACTGTATACATAACTACCATCTCCTCCGAGTTACTATAAACATAGGAAATACACAAGTAAAATACAAGCGAAAATCAAGGCTGTCTCACTGGACAGGTGACCAAGTTTCTCACACACAACATGCTACTGTCCCCTCACTTCATCCTGCAAACAAACCCACAGGAAACACTCCAACTTTGCAAATGGTTTCAGCTAACAGGAGACAGGTGAGCTTCAATAATTATTTGTGGGGCTCTGAAAAGTAGTCAAAGCCACCCACAGTAAGGAAATGGAGTAAAGGACAGAGCTCATATAAAATAATCCAAAGAAAGCTAAGCTTTTAGTAAATAAACCCAAAGGTGGCTACACTAGGAAGTAACAAAAGCACAATGCCCTTGGCTTTGTCCCTCTCTTGCCCTGATTTGTTCAGTGAACCAGCTATAATTTAAAGGCTTCATGATTCACTCAGTATGCACCAAATGTCACAAACAGCCAATTAGGAAAACCTCAGTGCCACCACAAGCCTTGAAGTAAGCAGTAAGAACTGAATACAGTGAATTCTCCCAGTCTTCCAAGTTTAACTGTAAATCACTGCTCACCCACCGTCTTGTCCACTTAGAGATGCTTTATAGGCCAAACGTGTATCACGTTGTCAGAAACTCTTATCATCTGCCAAACCTCAGCTGCTTATTCATAGCACTCCTGGGTTTTCGACTGTTTTTTCACCTCCCCCTAAGCCAGGAGGCAGCTGTTGGTAATTAAGCCTTTGCTAGCAAGAACTGGGCTGTCACCTTACTTGTCAGCTGAAGGTTTACAAGCTCACTCGGATGGCTTCTGTGGAGCAGCTGGCCTCAATCACCCACGCATCGCTCCTGATAGCTAACAGTGTACACACATCACACGCCTCTGCTTTCAAGGGGCAAACTCCATCTTCACACATTCCTAGGCTGCTCCTAGAGATTCGGTTTATAGATGTGTAAACAGAAGTTAGGTGTGCAGTTTTATGTGTGTGAGGAGAAGGCGGACGGTGGGAAATGGTTCTCCAGCCGAACGTAAATAATATTTAAGCAGAATGCTTAGGGCCGAAGAGATTGCAGTCAGCATGCAGATCAGAAAGCAAGCCTGGGAAACCTGCCTCGTCCTCCAGAACCTCACGATGGCCGGGTTACCCCGGTACGAACCCCTGGCTGGTAACAAGCTGTGACAACTCGAAGCAGTGCGGTAAGGAGGCAAGCGGTAAGGACGCACGCGGTAAGGACGCACGTTACAGCGTCGGTTCTCCTCCCCTCCCCTCCATCCCACCATTGTTCTTAAAATAACAACGAAAGGGCCAAGAGGTGTCTTAGCTGAGGAGATGGTCACTTGTGGAGCTGTGTTCTGTGGCTGGAGACCAGTGTTTCATGCCGCCAGACACAGCGCAAGTCCAGCCCCACAGACTCCTGCTCTGTGTTTCTTCAGCCTGTGCAGGCCTTGCCCTGCTGCAGTGGGGACCCTGAAGGCCCCGTGGCCTGAATCGTCCCCTGCCTCGGCACTGGGTTCAGCTTCTCACACAGGTCCAGCTGGGCTGGGACAGCTTCTGTACTAGTGAGTCTTGCTCTCCCCCGCCCCGCCAGATGGGCCCCCGAGCCTCTCACCCTTCTTGACTTTGTTTCCCATCATCCACCTTTCCTTTCTCACCCAGACACGCTCATGCCGGGTCCCAGCATGGGCTCTGAGAACTCAGTGTGAGCCTTACCGTTGCCTTCAGGGAGCTCACGGCCCACTGGAGAGGCAGACACGGCCTGCAGCAATGACAGCACATCCTGCTCCCAGGGTGAAGTCCAGTTCTGGAAGACCTGCCCCAAATCAGAAGAGTATCTGGGAAAAATTTTTCTCTTCACTCTGTTGATCATTTCCTTTGTTGTGCAGTTATTTTTTTATGTAATCCATTTGCTAATTCTTGATATTATTTCCTGTGAATTGGAGTCCTATCAGGAAGTCCCTGCCGAGAAAATACAAATGACTTAAAAAAGCTGTTCGCAGAATGACAGAAAACTTCCCAGAGGGGAAGAATTTGACATTCAGATAACTGAGGCATATTCATATAACTGAGGCAGATAACTGAGCCCCAACTAGCTACAATCAAAAAAAATCTACACCTAGACATATAATAATCAAGATCCCAGAAACGCAACAGAAGAATAAAATACTACAAGCAGTGAGAGAAAAGAAACAAATCACATACAAAGGAAAGCCCATCAGAATCACAGCAGACTTTTCAACACAAACCCTTAGAGCAAGGAGAGCCTGGAATGAGATATTTCAAGTACTAAAAGAGAACAACCTCCAACCTGGACTGATGTATCCTACAAAACTCTCTTTCAAAATGGATGGGAAAATAAGATACTTCCACAACAAAGAACACCTTAGAAACTACATGACTACCAAACCAGCACTACAAGCAATTCTAAACAAGATCCTAGAAAAAGACAATGAAGGCAACAACACCATGAGACCCAACAGAGCAAATCAAATAGGCAAGGCAAGAAATTAAAAGGAAAAGGTGAAAAAGTAAAAAGAGTCAACAAAAGGCAAATAACACGTCAATAATAAGTCAGTACATATCAGTTATAATCATCAATGTCAATGGCCTCAACTCACCAATCAAGAGAAATAGACTAGCAAAATGGAATAAGAAGCAAAATCCAACAACATGTTGTATACAAGAAACACACCTAGAGCAAAAAGAAGCCCACAGACTGAAAGTGAAAGGATAGAAAACAATTCTCCATGTGACAGGAGCCCAGAAAAAAGCAGGGGTAGCAATCTTATTTGCAGACAAAGCAAATTTCAAACCAAAACTGATTCTAGTATTATTGATGTAGGATGGTACTGTATCATACCTCTCTGAATGTAAAATATCTTTATGATACATAGTAGGGACCGTGCTTTATCAGAGCTATATTTAATGATATTACTCTAGAATGTTCTCTTTCCAGATGATGATTAAGAGGCTAATAAAAAAAAATGGTGCCAGGTACCACAACAGCAACAGAACTTTGCTGTTTTCTGGATATTATTCTTTTCTTTGTTTTTTTGTTTGTTTGTTTGTTTAATGGAATGTGCTGAATGTTTATAATTTTGTTCAGATGACTACAGAACCTGGAGAAGCTGTTGCTGCTACTGATGCATAACATACTGCTATTATTGGTCTTTTTATATAAATATAAATACACACACACACACACATATATATATATATACAGATAGATAGATATATAGATATATATCTTGAATTTTTGGAAACTTTAACGGTGCTCTCAACTTTGGAAAAAGTTATCCCAATTTACTGTGTTGAGTTGGCATTGTACAGAAGTGGACAGCTATATTTGTCTAGAAATGTTAATTTTTTTATATTTTATTTTTTTTCCATTTGTACAGGGGTAACGCACTGTATTACATATGTAAGGTCATATCTACATGGGTTTGATTACAGAAACTAATAAAGTATTCTCTAAATAAGATAAATAAGAATAAGATAAGACTATAAGAGCAAGAAGCAATTTAAATATGTTCAGGGACCATTTTCATCTCCAGAATTAAGGATTATTTTAATGTTACATCATTGCCTTTTCTCTCTTACTTTCCTTTTTAGTTTTAGTTTTATTTTAGGATTCCCTATTTTTAATGTCCATACAGAGATTTCTTTAACTGAAATACTGAATAGTTTCTCTGGTGTGAAAAACTATAATAGTACACAGGATCCTAATGAGATAATTAATAATGTGAAATAGGAAGCAAAGGGCTAAAGGTGTAGGGAAAGTGGGAAGGGTGGGAGAAAGGTAATAAGGGAGAGAAAAAAATATGAGAAAAAAGGAAGTCCCTGCCAATCCTGTGGCTTCAAGTGTTTCCTCTAAATTATCTTTCCGTTGTGTCAATGTTTCAGTTGTTACATCTCTGATCTGTTTTCATCTGACTTGAGTACAGACTAAGAGATATGGATCTCCTTTCAATCCTCGGTACATGGATAACCAGTTTTTCTAGCACCACTTCTTAAAGAGGCTGTCTTCTCCCTAACATGTGCTTTTGTCCCCTTTCTCAAAAATAAGATGCCTGAACGTGCACAGGTTGCTTCTGTGTCTTCTGTTCTATACCATTGGTCTCCTTGTCTGTGTTTGGACCAGGATGCAATAGAAAGAATGGCTATCATTAAGAACATAAACAAATGCTGGTGAGGCTTCGGGAAAAGGGAACCCTTCTACACTGTTGCTGGGAACGTAAACTAGTACAACCAGTATGAAAATCAGTATGGCGATTCCTCAAAAAACAAATTCCATCTGACCCAGCTGTACCTCTCCAGGCTCTACTCCCAAGAGAGCTAAAGGCATGCGATCATGGAATACATGCACTCCCACATTGATAGCAGCGTAACTCACAGGGGCTAAGCTCTGAAAACGGTCTAGACGCCCACCAACAGATGAATGAATAAAGACAGCATGGTGTACACACACACACACACACACACACACACACCCGGACACCGGCCATCTACATAAAGACAGCATGGTGTACACACACACACACACACACACACACACACACACACCCGGACACCGGCCATCTACAAAGGAGCCCAGGATGAAGCTCCAGACACGGAAGGTGAAATGCTACATTGTTACTCTTACATGAGAAACTTAAAACATAAATAAATAAAAGAGTAATGAGAGATGGTAAGAATCAGACTTCTTAGGGGTGGGGAAGGGAGGCAGAAAGGTGGGGACGGGGATAAAGGAATTGAAAATGATCAAGATGTGCTACATACATGTACCAAGTCTTCAAAATGAATGTAAGCACTATGTACTGCTCACTAATGAAACTCACTACACAGTACTATGTATTTCTCACTAATAAAAATACTCACTAGTAAAAACAAACCCTTTATCCCTGAAGGGGGAACAGCAAGAGGAAGGGTTCTAGAAGATATAGGATATCATCCATCCTCCCTTCCCACAAACCATGGAGACAGCAGAAGTCCCCTGCCTCGGTGCAGACGCCACCTGCCGGTCACTCAGCATCTGACTCCCACCCCAGGCCTTCTTAATCTCAAAGGGTTCTAACTCCATCCTTCTACTCACTCAGACCCAGAACTCTGGCGTCTTCCCTGATTCACTCTTATCTTCACGCTACCTGCAATCACCGACGCCCCATGACCCACCTTTGAAACATAAGCAGAATGGGACGCTCTTCGTGACCTCCGTGGGAGGATCGCGGCCTCCTCCTGAGCGCGTTAACTGACAAGACAATAAAGAAGGGGACAAACAGCTCGCGTGACCGTGTGTGACAAAGCCACAAGATGAAAATACCTTTTTCTTCTGTAAATCCAAAGGGACTTTTTACTACAGTGAAGAAAATTCAGTCTAAAGTGATTAACTGTTTCAAACCAAGAGAATAAAATTTTCAAGATCCCTTCAAATAACCTTCAGCTCCTGAACGTAATAATTCCTCCATATATATTAACCCATAAGTAAATGAGTGTAAAGAAACCATATTGCGGGGCCTGGGATTTAGCTCAGTGGTTCCACCACCTGCCTTGCAAGTGCAAGGTCCCAAGTTCAATCTCTGGTACCAAAAAAAAAGAAACCATATTGCAAGTTCCTCAACATTTCAGTATACATGCACATACGTGTGTGTGTGAGTGTGTGTGCATGCGCGCGCATGCGTCCAGAGGGGTTACTGAATAGGCTGGGACTCCAACCTGTACCAGTACAACGGACACGCACGCACAGGTGCTGTACCCAAAGCTCTTTGGACAGATGTAAGTCATATGCCTAGAAACTACACATCTGAGGTAAAAACACCCCAAAGCTCTCTCTCCTCTCCCCTCAGCAGCTCCGTGCAGCTCTCTAGCTCACCCTCTCACCCATGGTGCCTTTCAAAGGCCACGTCACTGCTCACCAAGTTCTGCGAACGTCACTCCCTCCAAGCCCCTGGACAGCCCTGGGGAGACGCCGAGGGGCTCCGCCTCCCTGGGCCTTGACTGCCCATCAGCAGAGGGAATGCGGACCACATGCTATGGCGCATGCTGCCGCTTCGGCACTCCAAGGACTCCACACAGGAGGCGTGCGGGTCACGGTCCGCCACGTGCGAATGCTCTGGGCGCCCTGTGTTCTGCACTCTGGCTATACCTTAATATCCGTTTATCAGAAAGCCACACAATCCGTACGGTCGGCAGCAAGGACATTTTACACTCAGAGCTGACCCTGTGTCACTGCAGAACCCAGTGAGGTTTCTGCATCACCAAAAAAGCCCAAACCCCATGCTTATGAGGCATGTGTATTTTACTGTCTTCCAAATTTACTTGAAAATTTTTATGACAAGTACTTGGCAGTATTATTCACTGTGTGTTCCAATAGGTTTGCACAATAAAAAGGCTCCACTGTCAAGAGATTGGAAGTGTTCTTTCTGCCTGTTCAGCATTCATTCCTCCCTTCCCTGGAAACTACACTCGCTCCCCCTTGGGGGCCGCCCGCCCCTCTGCCCCGTCCAGGAGGGGTAGGTCCCAGTTCAGGCCATCAGCCTGAGACTCAAACTCAACTCAGGCTCTGCTGTCTGCTAGGACTGCCAGCGAAGCAAGAGCTGTAAAATGTTCAAATCACCAGAAATCACATGGGCAGGGCCTACCTTAGAGGGCATCACAGAAGAAGGTAAAGCCAAAAGATGGAGACCTGGATCTCATCACACTCTCGGGATCCACAGCCCTGGAGGTCCAGTTGCCAACACGCTCTCTTTCGCTTGAGCACTTATCGTTACAAGAATGACCACTGAGATATGCAACGCTAAGTAAGGTTTATTTACTCCAGATCTTCACAGAGCTCCCACAATGTTACATGCACTGTGAGTCTGCACGGGGAAGATACAGTAATGAACTTTTTTTAAAAGACCATATTATAGGAATTGTAATCCACAGAAAACACCTTGGGAAAGGCTAGTACATATTATCTACAGGTTAACCTAATATTAAACTATTGAAAAGTCCCATTATCCTGTTATCCTGGACCAATGAGACAAACAGAAATTCATTTATCCAATATTGTTGATACATTTTTCTCAGCCTTTAAAAATGCTTGTGTATAATTTTTTATTTTACTAAACTGGGTTCATAAGCACAAGCCATAGTATATTTTTCCAGACTTAATAAAACACGTATATAATTATATATATATATATAAATTATGACCCACCATACTTTTCAGTTCTACACTTCTAAGCTTTTTGGGCCACTAGACTCACTGCCAAGCCGCCAGCTGCCACTTCTTTCCACTCTAAACGTGCCTACCCCTGCTGTAGCCTGCATGCTGTCCTGTGGGTACAGAGCAGCCAAAAGACACTCACTACAACTGGGTATAAAAGGAAAAAGAGGGCAAGGCCAACACAATGAGCATGCAAACCAGAACAGTGTGCACCAAGTAACCTACTCCAGTTCTTTGCACAAAATTCACACCAGAGATAATCTTGCTGCTTATTTCCAGTCCTACCTTCCCATGTGGGAAGTTATTATACTTAGCCAAGAAAAATATCATTCCACCTTGATAGCACTGATCTCTGCTTAGAAACTATAAAATGAAAAGTCCTTTAAAAAAAAAAACAGGAAAACCCATAGTGCAAAATATTCCATTTCTTGGTTTATAAGTCATCCACTAGCACAGAGGCCCTGGGTTCGGGTCACTCTGCTTGTTCAAAGCTCCCCGGGTGCCCTTGTTTTAGGGCCCTGTCCAGAGCGGGGGATCTGAGACCACAGCAGTAAGCATACGCTCCCTGTCACAGCCTTGACTGCCCTGATACAGCTCAGGCTCACAGCCTGGCCTGGCAGTGAAGAGACTGAGCCAGGGCACGGAACTGGATTCTCCTGGTGAGCATCCGGGTGGACCTGCAGCCACACTGAAGCCAGGTAACAAAAGCTCACAGGGCTCCTCACACAGTGCCCACAGCCGCAGAGGCCAAGTGGAAGGCACCTGGGGCCCCTTATGCAGCTTAGAGAAAAGCCCAGACTAGCATTGCCCTGATGCTTTCCGAGAACCCAGAGTATGTTCTGGAAGGCTCACAGGCTCCCGCTTCCCACATGGGGAGGAACCACGCAGCTCCTCAGACAGTCGTGAGCAAATTCAGAGCCTGCTCCGCCAAAGAAAACACCCTGGCCTGCCCAACCCCGCCATGCGTGCTCAGAAGGGCCTCTACCCGCTGGACCCCAGGCCCGCGGACCATATGGGTGCTGGAGCGTGGCAGGGGCCGGGGCTATTACCCTACAGTGAGAGCCCTCCCCTGCCCCACGGCTGGATCCTGACAACTGCACAGCTGGAAATCACTGCTAGAGCAAAGGGACCCTAGATCGTCACTCTGGAAACCACTGCCGGGGCCTTCGGCTCTCCTCCTGCTTAAGGAGAGAGGCACAGCGATGCTCACTGTAAGGGTAAGGGAAAGCCCGCAGAGCTCCTCACACAGGGCCCACAGGAAAGGTCTGGGGCACAGGGTCTCCAAAAAGGAGAGGAGAGCAGTCCCAGCCTGCAAGAAACACGCGACAGGGGAGCAGCGTGTGCTAGAAACAGGGCGCCAGGCAGGACCCAGCAGGGGCTCCAAACATGCAGCATGTGGTCCACGCTGCAGGAGGGCACACAGTGCACGTGGCAGCAGTCGCTAACAAAGGGCCACCTTTCCCTGGGCTCCAACCCCTGCTGGGCACGAGAGCTGGGAGCCAACCCACCTAAGCAGCTCATCCTGAAAGACTCTGATTCCCGAGAAGACGATGCAAAGGCTATGGAAGGGGGCCCTTTAAGCTCCGCTCTACGCCACATTCCTCCCTCACTGGGAGGGGAGTGGAGAACGAGGGCTTGGGGCTCCCAAAAGGAGTGAAGTGCCTAAAGGCCCACGGGACGTGAGCCAGGGCATCCTCTCCACCCTGGCCACAGGCCTGGCCACAGCCCAAGGCAGGCAGGAAGGCCTCAGCCTCCCAAGAGGGACCTCGGGTCCAGCAGCTGCCCTGGGCACCAGGCCTTACATCAGCATGTCCTAGGATTTCCACACCAACTGAGCCCCCGTCGCTAACCAGTCAGCCTTACCTGAAGCGGTTTTCCTCTGACAGAGTCAAGTTTGCCACCTTAAAAAGATCAGCACAGTTGGGGGCAACAGGAGCACTCCCTCCACCCCCTGAACCTAGGCAGGCCCAGGGCTCATGGTGGCCAAAGACCTCACGCCTATCCTGGATAACTTCAGAAATTCCAAACCAAGACACATGCACACGAGACCTCCCTGCACGCCCTAGAGTAGCTTTCCTTTCCCTGGAGCTCACTGAAAGTGCATGCACCTTGAACATCCCATCAGAGCAGAGGGCACCGTGGGAAAGGACAGAGCAATGGCGGCAGAGACTCCGCAGCGGCAGCCATCTGTCAGTGCCCCTCAGAGGACCTCCATGGGGGACTGCGGCAGGCGGACACTTGACCCGTCCTACGCCCTCAGGGCTCGTGCCACTCTCCTTCACTGGAGCAAGCCTGCTCCCTCACAGCGTACTTTCACCCTAATGAACTCTGCCTCTGTTTCCTTGCTGTGTGGCTGTGTCTGGACGTCCCCCAAAGCCTCATGTGGTCATAGGTGGGGCTTTTTGTGGTGGCTGGATCTAGGGTGTGTGATGCAGGTGTCACCACCCAACAGCCTTGTGGCCCAGGTAGAACATAAAGGAGAGAGCTGCCTGCTCTGCAGTGCCCCACTGCCAGGCCGCCCTACCTTGGAGCCCGCCAATTCTGGACTGAAATCTTCTTTAACTCGGTGCCAGGTATTTTGCCTCAGCATTCACCACTGTGTGCTATGTCCAGTTCTTTGTTCCTCACACACAGGAACCTAGAAACCTAGACCTGGACGCCATAGGTTCATGGTAACATCTCAGTGAGCCCTGCCAAGAAGTAAAAGCCCTTTGGGATATTTTATTTCTTTTTCTGTCTTCTCTTTCCTGTTTTTGCACCCTCAACTGCTCACTGCAGGCACAGGCCAGACAGGAAAGAGCTGCCAGCCTCTGCTGGGCACAAGAAAATTTCCGTGCCTCGCATAGCTTTGTCACACCCAGGAGTGTGCACCTCACCACTGCCCCACAGCCAACTGGGTCAAAACTCAGCCCCAGGAACAGATTAAAGGAACCAAGTTTAAAAGGGAAAAAAGACACCGCATTTGAAAGAAAGGTGAGAAACAGGGGACAGAAAGAGTACCATAGACAGCTGAGTTAGACAGAATTATTATAGGCAGGCTGGGTCCTCGAGGGGTCTGGGAAAAAGGTGAGACACATCTGCTGGAGACCAGGCCTCAAGATAAAGACAAGATGACCAGGCCTGCACGCTTCCTCAAAAGACAAACTCCGGGCCTAAGGAAGTCCAGTCGGCCACTCCGGTGGTGACCAGAGACCTCTGGACCCACCACTTCCTAGGAGAATCTCTGTTCTTTCCATCCACACTTGTTATGTGACTTGTTTGCCAATTGGACCACCATCACCTGAGTGACTACGCTTCTCACCTTAGTGGACAGTCACGGCTATGGCTCTGTAAAACTCCCCTATATTGGTCCCAGGCTACCCATTCGGGTCCCCTCCTGCCTCTCAGGAGCTGTCCTACCCTTAAATATCTTCCTACACTTAACCCCTAATGTTCCTAGAATTCATTCTTTGATTTTTAGAGAACACGAGCTCAGTGTATCAGACAGCTCACAGGTTGAGAAAGATATTTCACATTTCATCTCTGGTATTATTTTCTGCATCCAGAGTAGGGGGCCGAGCTGGACAGCTATGGGTCTTTGTGCTCAACTTACTTTTATCGAAATAATAGAGGCCCTTCCCCCAGTACACACCTGGAACTTGTCACAACCTGATTGGTTCCGTGGACTATCATAGAGGGATCCCAGGGTCCGAGACCCTACACTGGGCACTACTGTCTATGTGCACATTCTTAAATCTTTGCCAGGGCCTCATCTCTCTGCATACAAGGTCAAGTTAGTGATTTATCTAGTTCAATAACACAGTGACCCTAGAGTGGAGATATACACACGCACACGTGTACTACTGTAACTAAGAGTTTTCTTTTAAGTGGCTTCCCCTCGTCTCCTTTGCATTTTACTGGGGGTGGGTGAGGGGCAGCTACCTGGTTCCAGTACCCAGCATCCCCTGTGCTCGGCCTTCCCTCTTGTTCTGTCAGCTGCTCTGCCAGGAAAGTTTTAACTCTCTGGTCAGGATTCGCCAGAATGCCTACCGGGCCCTGCCTCAGAACCAGCTCCCTACAGGTCTACCGCCCATCTGTGCAGCCTTCTCTTTCCATGAACCTCAGCATCTCAGGGGTTTCTTTACAGCAGCCAGAGTCTCCTGGAACCCTAGAAAAAGTGAGTGCCTACTTATAAATCACCACAGTGGCAGTACATTTTTTTCTTGTGTTAACTAATTGTATAACATAAAGGATTTTTAACTTAGAAGGAAAAAAAGGCTAAGTAGGAGAGGGTGAACTTGTTCCTTAAAGCCAAACAAAGCAAGCACGGCGGGTGGGGCCAGGGATTTAGCTCAGCGGTGCGGCCACCTGCCTTGCAAATTCAAGGTCCTGAGTTCAATCCCCGGTACCAAAAAAAAAAGGAAGCAAACAAGGCAGGGCTACCCGAACTGGCTCATGCAACCTGGGCCACCATGAAGGTGACCAAAAGTCGTCAACAAGGCCGTGCTCCTGAGACATCCCTCTTCTCCACGGGGCTCACCGAAGTCAAACCCATCCTACAGCTTCCCTTCCTAGCTTATAGTAAATAAAGAGCAAAATAAGATTGATATTAGAAAACAGGGAATATATCTTTTGCAATGGGAAGGGACCAAGACATGGAGGGAGAGGCAGGGAAGATGATGAAGAAAAAGGATTCAGATGTGCTATGTACGTGAACTAACTCCAAGAAATGCAGTCACAGCCAGGCATGGTGCAGCACGCCTGTAATGCCAGCACTCAGGAGGCTGAGGCAGGAGGATCACTGTGAGTTCAAGACCAGTCTGGGCTACATAGTGACTTCCAGGTCAGTCTCAACTACACAGTGAGACCCTATCTCAAAAAGCCAAAAAAGAAAAAGAAAAGAAATGCAGTCACTACATGCTGCAAGCAGCTGATTCGGCTCAGTGTTTCCATCTGTCGTAACTACCTAGACAAGAAGGGAGAGAGAAAGGAATGTACAAGGAGTGCAGAGCCTAATCTGCCAAAACGGACGTTGAAAACTGATAAGTCCATAGAACTTTTAGAAATGTGAAGATGAATGGTAGCAAAACCAGAAAATTTAATTGTTCTTTCTGGAGAATAAATCGTCAGGAAGGGTGACAGAGACAGGAGACACAGACTTCTGTATTTGCATAAGCATGTTAGCACTATTTGGCTTCCCAAATCAAGTCTACTGTTTTTCTGTTTTCTAAAAAGTAACCTAATAAAGCCTACCTTTCTCAGTGCTCTCCACTGGCTCAGTTGGTAGAGTCCAGTGTGCTCAGATGCGTGGCTTGATAACCTCCATGGAGCCAAGAGATGAGACGCACGGGCAGGAGGCATCTGCACTGTGGAAAAGCAGCGGATCTGGGGTCAGCACCCTGCGCTTCAGTTCCGGCTCTGCTGTCTGAGCCGTCCAGCCTCCCACAAGGCGTTTGCCGCTCAGTCATTTCACAGCACAGATCAGGAATGGAGACCCATACAACCAGTGAGAGGACCGGATGTAGATCCCACCCACGGTGAAGGCAAGGGTAGGGCCTTGCAAACTCTGGGTCGGGCAGGTGAGAGCCATGGCAAGTTTGAGCCCTGGGTACAGAGACACAGGTTCCTAGCTCCAGAACCAGGTCCTAAGAGTGAGCTTGTCTCTAAACGTGGGCTGAAATCTACTTATCTCCTCAGCCCTGTTCCCAGGCCCCTACGGTGTATCAGGGTTCTGTGGACCCAGAGCCCCTCCAGGATATGTGAGGCTCACCCAGGCCCATGTGCCATCTGACCTCGGCAGGACCCCTGAGCAGAGTCTTTCCTAATCCTGCCCAGTTTTGAAAAAAATACACCTCCAAAATACTCGGCCTCAGAAGTCAAACTTGTAACACCTTAGAGCCAAGAGAGACATCTCCGGGGAGGGTCTAGCCCATCACCAGCCAACTCTGCCACAGGTCTGGTCACAGCTGTCATGTGGAACAAGCAAGCCCAGAAATGGCACAGCCTGCAGCAGCCTGCTCCAGGCTCAGAGCATTTGCAACAGCGAAGTCCTCTGGCTCACAGCCCCGGCCACTGCAGACTGCAGCCTGGCTCTGCCCTGGCTCCCTTCTACCCCAGATCCACGCAGCCCTGGGCCCTCTTCCTTCACAGCTACAGAGGCCACATCCCATCAGACAGCCGTTCTTGTGGGTGTGTCACCCGGGAAGCCCTGGGAAAGATCCTAAACCAAGCCCCAGACCAGGCTAAGGAACCCATGGGCATCAGGGCAACATGACAGAGGTTAGCGTGAAATCTCTCCAAAGTCCCAAGCGGCAGACCGCTCTCAGTGTGAACAGCACATGAGACACAGCCCGGCAGATGTGACTCCCCAGGGTAGATCTATTCTTTGGCACTCTGTACTTGGCAAGGGTTAATCATTGCGTCCATTCATACAATAATTAAATTAATAAAATGCAGAGAAAACCACTATGAGACCAACTGGGTTCCATGAGCACAAGGTAGGGGACCTGAGCGTGGGGGAATCAGCCGTTATTAAATATCACTGTCCTTGACTCGAGTGATGTGCATTTTATTCGAGTGTCCTGCAATTGGTGCTGAAGTTGTTTTTCCTCATTTGGGGGAAGTCTTCTTTTGTCCAAGGAATAATGCTCCATCATTTGCTTTCAAAAGTATTGTGCAACTTCTAAATAACAATTTCTAAAGTCAGGCTGATACTGCCAACTCGCTCTGGCTGGGGTTTTCTGCGTCGCCAGCAGAAAGACGGCTGGCCTGCCCAGAGCCCGTCTGGGAGGCTGGCCGGTATATCCTGTGCCCCAGAGCGTCCACCTGCTCAAAGGTGTAGCCGGGGGGCTCCGGGTATGAAGCGGGGCACCTGCCCATCTCCTTGGGGGTGAAGCTGACGGTGTAGGTGGTCTGGCCCTCCAGGGGAATGTTTCTTCGGGGCCTGGACCACACAGGCTTACAGCTCTCGGTGCTCACAGGTGGGTGCGGCACGAAATGGGCCTGTGCGGTGGTCAGGCAGTCCAGGGGCTCGGTGGGGCAGCTCAGCTGCGGGACGGGCTTGGCCGGCTGCGTCCGAGTGCCCGCCCACTGCCTGTAGTCTTCCCTGGTGGTGGTGGAGCCCTCAAAGCAGCCGCTCCTCTTGATCGGGAGCACCGGGCGGCAGGGCTTCGCGGGGCTCCCCCTAGGGTAAGCGTAGTGGGCCTGAACGGTGGTCAGAAAGTCCATCTTCTCTTCCGGAGGGACGTAGGTGACGGGGGCTCTGGAGAGCACCTGGGGCGTGGGCCACACTTGGTACTTCTCTCGAAACTCCGTGGTGCAACAGAAAGGCGCGCCCAGCCCAGGGGGCCTGGCTGGAGGCCTCAGGCTCTTGGCAGGCTCCCCGGCCAAGCCCCGGTAGGACTCTTTGTGAGTGGTGAGGCTCTCGAAAGGGATGTCGCAGGGTCTAAACTTCTCTGCCTGGTGCACGAAGCGCTTCTCCGCGGGGTGAGGTAGGTAGCTCATCTTGTAGTTAGTCAGAACCTCCAGGGGGACGTCGCAGAGCTTGGGCATGGCCACGGGTTTACAGCTCCTGGTGCTCACAAGGCCCTTCAGGGGGTAGTCATCCTGGTGCGTGGTTTGGCTGTCAAACTCGGTGGATGCTGGCCAGTAGTTGTGTGGCGGACGGAGAAGCTCTTGTCTTGGCTGGCTCCAAGGTATATAATCAGCTAAAATTAAAGCAGAAATAATTAGTCATAAATCAGACCTACATATTCTAAAGGACCCCACAAGCCAGGTGCCAAGGAGGTAACCTCTGGGACAAGAAGAACACAGAATAATCCTTTTCACCATTTCAACAAGAGCTAACGGTTTCAATCTTGTGTTATTTGCAGGCCGCTGTGCAGAAGAAACAAATTTATAGGCCACTCGGCCACACTCCACAATGCTGCACACAGGGGCTTAGAGTCCGTGGTTGTGGGAGGACCTAGTGAAGCCCCTGCAGGAGACAAGTCCCACCTGGCTCAGCTCCTGCCCTCTCCAGTCAGCATGGAGCGACTAGCAAGATGCATGTGGAGTGGTGGGACCAGGAGGTTCAGAGCCCGCCACTGCTGAGCCAACAGCCAGACTGCACCGGCCACCTGAGCATTCGCAGGACGACCCCACTGTGCCTGAGAGCCCCATGTCTCGGCCACGTAAACCAGACGTGCTGCTCAGGAGCGCGAAGGCATCGGCCTGGCCGGTGAGCAGACAGCAGCTCCCACTTGCATGACGTTCACAAGGCAGTGCTGTTCTAAGTGCTTCCCACACTAGCTCATTCGATCTTCAGATAGCCCTGACACAGTGAGGACTAAATACCCGTTTTACAGAAGCAGAAACAGGCACAGAGATACTCTGTAATTTTCCCCAGTTCACTTGGCTAATAGAAAACCACAGACTCACGTTCAGATCCAGAGCCCCTGCCTTGCATGCCACTATCTGATTTAACAAAGAATACAGAGTACGCACCAACCAGTTGTGCTCACACCTCTCCGTGCACAATCTTATTTCCTTTTTACATAACCCTCTGTGGAGTGAGTAGCTGTTTTGTAGATTTCCTAAAGCAAGACTCAGAGAAGCGAAGAAGTGGGCCCCAGAGTCACATGGCTACTGTTAGCTTTTTGTCACCGTTTCGGACAATAACAAATTAAAAGGACAAAGCACCAAGTCGAAGCTCTCTGTCCATGGTCACCTGGCTCCATTGCTGTTAGGCCTGAGGCAAGGCAGAGACAGAGAGCCTGCCAGTCTTTGCCGGAAGGCTTCCTCCTCCTCCTGCTTTTATTCCTTCTGGTGGTGGCCTCGCAGGCCCACTTTCGTCTCCCCATCAGCTGGCCAGCCTCCACGTGGTCACCTCTGGGAACGGCCTGAGAGACACCCAGAAGTGTGTCTTACCCATTTCTTAGGCAACTCTCAACTCAAACACATCAACAGCCTACACGAACTGTCGCAGATTCTGAGTTAGGAATTGGAACTGAGGCCACAGACATGACCCCAAAGCTGTGCTCTTTTGACGGGGGTGCCGCAGTTACGTGCACTGCTCCTAGAGGAAGAATAATAACCAAGGACAGGTCTCTGTTAGGAGAAGGGATGCTCAGAATGTTTAAGAACTGAAAAGGACTGGGCAGCTATATCCCAGGTCTGTCCGTCTCAGGAACAGCCTCTGCTTCAGAGCTGGAGAGGCCACACTGAAGGGGCCCGGACTTGCCGGGAATCTGCACCGCGCTGTTCCACACGGCTGGAGGACCCACAGGCACGGCCCTTGGCAGCCCCGAGGGAGCCACCACAGAGACTCTGCCTCAGGCCTGGGCCGCTCCAAGCCTGAAGTGCAGGGGAGAGTGCGGGAAGAGTCAAGGCCGCAACGTGACCACTGTGCACTGCTGCCTTTCTTTCCATAGCACTTGGCTCACAGCCAAGACCTTCCTCGCCTCACTGCGCCGTAAATTCTCAGGCCTGAAGAAGCCCATCTGAACCGAGGGAACCCTGAGTCCACAGGGAATTCTTTCATGGCTTCACAAAGAGCTAGAACAGATGCAGCTTTCCGGGAGCCTGGGGTAGGTAAGGGACATTTGTGGGGTCGCTGGGCCTGTATTTAACAGTGCTACTGAGGCATAATTTGCGTAACGTAAAATGCACCGATTAAGAAACATTTACCTAGCCCACAATACTGTCGGTTTTCTATAATTTAGCTATCACATTGGGGTCTGTGGGGGTTTGTTTTGGTGCAGTGATGGTGGTGCTAGGGATGCAAAGCCTGGCCTTGTACACGATGCACAAGGAGCTGCACCACTAAGCCACACCACCCACCCTTACTTCTTTAATTTTTAGGAAGGTGTGACACAAAAGTCTCCATTCAACTTTTTGCATATGGATATCCAACTGTCCCAGCACCATTTATCAAAAAAAATATCCTGTGTCACACTAAAGTGCGTAGACACTTTTGTGAAAAATGTGGCAGGAAATCTGTACTCCTAATTCAGTGTACTGTCACTTTCTTCATCACAATGTCAGGAGCACACTGTCTTAATTACGGAAGCTGCATAGGAAAGCTTTAAAATTGGGATGTTCTTCAACTTTGTTCTGACAAAGAATTAGTTATTCTGGTTTACTTTCATTTCATACATAAACTTAGGTTTTGTCATTCTTTTAAAAAGCTGTTCCTAGGATCCTGCTATGGATTGCAATGAATGCATAAATCAATTTTTAAGGCATCTCAGTGCCTTAACAACACTGACTCTTTCAACCCATGAGCACAGAATGTCTCTCCATCCATTTAGAATTTCTCTCTGAGCCAGGTGTGGTGGCACACGCCTATAATCCCAGCACTCGGGAGGCTGACGCAGGAGGATCTCTGTGAGTTTGAGACCAGCCTGAGCTACATAGTGAGTTCCAGGTTGGTCTCAACTACATAGTGAGACCCTGTCTCAACAAAACCAAAAAAAAAAAAAAAAATCTCTCTGTAATCATTTCCAGTACACAAATTCTGCACTTCTTAAATTTATTCCAAGCATTTAGTTCATTTTCAGACATGATAAGAACTCTGTATGTGTGTCAACATTAGCATAGAGAAATGCAACTGATTTTTACACATTACTCTTCAATACTGTTACTGTGATAAACTCCTTTATTGTTCTAGTACTTTTTGTAGATTCTTTGGGATTGTCTGCCTTCAGGATTACTGTCTGAGGATAACGACAATCTCGTATCTTAGTCTCTAATCTGGATGCATGTGACTATTCGCTTTCCTCGTGTTGCTGCACTGGCTAGAAACCACAACACAGTGCTGAATAAATGGGGAAGGCATCTGGTCTCCCGCATCACGGAAGATGCTAGCGGAGGGATGTTTGGTCGATGCTCCGTATCAGGCTAAGGAAATTCCTTCTATTCCTAGCTTGTTGGGAGCTTTTGTGGGATCTTGTCAAATGCTTTCTAACAATGATACATTTTTTGTCTTTTACTTTACTAGTGCGGCATATTACATTGATCGATGTTCTGGTGTTACATCAACCTTCCCTTCCTGTAACACACCTCACAGCTTTATTATTTATTCCACAACAGCCTTTTAACTGTATAAGAAAGAAAAGAGAAAGAATACATTTATTGTGCATTCACAAGTCCTCTGTTTCGCTGTCACCCGTTTCAATTCCTTCCAGCCTGAGGGCTTCCTTTACGGTCTTAGGCCAAGTCAGGTAGTTACACGACTTCTCTCTCTGTCTGGACATGTCGTTATTAGGTTTGAAGCACGCCACTGGACGCAGAATTCTGTGGCTGACTCCTTCCTTTCGGTACTTCTCTCTTTTCCGCGACAACCCACTGCTCCCGGCCTCCGGCTGCTTCTGCGGAGGCCCCGTGAGTTGCGCTCTCCTCCCTCCCTCTGCACACGACAAAGTGCTTTCCTTCGCTCCTTTCCTGACCTTCGTCTCTGACTGTCACAGCTGGACCGTACTGTGAGTGAGCGTGGGTCGCCTCTTGGATGTATAAATGTCTTTCATGAGGGCTAGGGATTTAGCTCAGTAGTTGCGGAGCCTGACTCGCAAGCGTAAGGACCCGTGTTCAATCCCCGGTACCAAAAAGAAAAAGTCTTTCATGAAGCTTAAGGAACTTCAGCAATTAATTCTTCGAATACTTTCTCTGCCTCGTCCGTCCTTCTTCCATGGCTCCCGCTCTGACCCACAATTCCCGAGTCCTGTTCATGTTCATTCTTTTCCATGTTTCACACTGGGTAATCCCTACTGATCTATCTTGATTTCACTGGTTCATGTCCCAGGTCACTTCTGCTCTAAGGAAGTCCCTCTAATGAGTACTTATTGTGGTTATTGTTCAACTCCAGAGTTTATTTGGTTTTTATGATTTCCCCCACTGGTATTCTTATCAACTGTTATTTTTTCCTTCGTTCCTTCAAATATAGATTCCTGCTATTTTTTCAAACTTGGGATGCTCCTGCCTCAGCCTTCCAAGCAGTTGGGATTAACAGCATCCACCATCACACCTGGCTCTCTGTTAAAAGGTTGTTTTCATTTTTACAGTTAGCTTCCTAAGGTTCAGCCTGAGTCAGCCACAGCCTGGTGGTAGGGAGCCTGTGCAGACAGAAAGGGTGCTCTCCGTCCGCACAACCTGCACACAGCCCTCAGGCCACCATGAGCGTTCTGAGGTCCTCGAGGCCACTGTGTCTGCCTCATTCTCTCCATCCGCTTTAAACTTCTAGCTTGTCTGTCTGTCTATCGCTTACCACCGGTAGTGCTGCAAACCTCAGGCTAGTTCCAGAAGGCATCTTCTCTGCTATTTTTCCCATGGAAATCACCACTGTTTTATCAAAACCCAGGGGCACACGCTCTGTTCTGCAGGCCCCACCGGAGCCACGCCTCACCTTCTCGTGCCCCACGGAAACTGCCACACAGACGGAGCCGGGCACAGGCTGGGTGAGGGGAGGGACTCCAGGGTGAGACACCACAGGTGCCCCATCCATAGCAGAGCTGCAGTAGTTTTACTTGAATAAATGCCCTCGATCATGTAATTTTTATTATATATTTTTTGGTTGGTTTCCAGAATAATGGAAATGGTTGGTTTTCACCATTTCGCCCAGTTTTATCATTGCTGTTGGAAAGAGGGTTGGCCAAGCTCCTGAATCTGCCATTCCAGAGCTCCTGACATTCCCATCTCCAGGCTCACTGTTAAGCTTATTTTGGGCCAGCAA